CGGCGCTGCATGAGTTTCAGAACCTACATGCGTTGGCGAAGGAGAAGATCAACGATTTCGTCCGCGGCCACTTCCACGGGTATTTATTTGCGTCGTTTGCATATGTTAGAAATATTTTGTGCCTTTCGATACACGTTTGACCGATGCCCGGTCGACCGGGCTTTTTTTCAGACATTTCAATTTTGACCTGGACAAGACGATTTACTTCTTTACCGCTGGTCGTTACGAGTTCAGCAACAAGGGCGGTGATCTGTTCATCGAAGCACTTGCGAGGTTGAACCATTATCTTAAGGTAAACGACACGGAGGATTTACGAGTTATGTAATTTCAAAGGTCTGGTTTAACAAAATATAACTGCAGCCTGAACGACAATAAAACCCATATGTAATAAGCGCTTTCTCGTACGCAAAATTGAGTTGTACACTAAGTCGGGGTTACAAAAGAAAAATGCACAATTCGCTACCGTTGGGATGTCCATCTTTCACGCTGGAAACATTTCTGATATACCTTCTTTTCAATGCCGTTAGTCAGGAGTGACTGACTTCTTAAAGGCAAGGTCGATAACAGCTATGTAACTAGCGTAGTTCGTAGTTTCCTATCTTCTCACAGAACAGAGCGATACTCATTTATCTGCCTCGAAAGAAAGGCAAGTGTCTGAACCGGGGTTTGATCTCGTGACCTCTCGGTTTCGACTCCTACACTCTACCGACTGAGCATTCTCAATTGACAGTCTAATTATGCAAAATTTTGAGGGATTTTAGATTCCCGTTGTGTCCACCGCGAGCACTTCTTCGATTCACCTGACTTAAATCGATAAAAGTTTCATAACTGCGGAAAGCAAGCACTCATAAAAGTTCAATAATCAAAGAAACGATACTCCTTACGGCATCCTCTCTGTAGTTATAGCTTAAAGATAATGGCATCTGCTTATAGACCAGCACAGATTCGCGGACAAAAGACGTCACAGTCATTGCGTTCGTTATCTATCCGGCCAGAGCCAACAGTTTCAATGTCGAGTCACTTAAAGGCCAAGCCGTCTGCAAGCAGCTCCGTGAAACCGTTTGTAGAATTAAGGACAACATGGGATCCCGATTGTTCGAAATGGCTTTAAGGTATTAGTTTTCTGCCTTGCTGCTTAACTCTGCTGAAACGCTGATATTGTTTTAAAGTTTATAAATTTACAGCTAAACGTTTACTTCTTATAGACATGTCTCATGAGTGAGGGTCTTTGATAAATAAGAGGAAGGAAAGAGCAAGGCTGCGGCGCATTTACGTTAGGAAACATTTGAAAATACACATGCCTTAAAAGTTTCCAATCAGTCATTGGTTGCCTTGGAAATTTTTTGGCAAATCAGGCAGTCGACGTGATCATTTGAAGTTGTGAAGCGTCACTGACTTTGCTTCGGTTTCTGGTCCACATCGTTGTTGTGGCTTAGCTATTTTAGTGCTATGTCAGCTATAACAGTTCTAAGGCGGCATGTTCTCTTGGCTATCTTTAAAGCCTCTCCTAGAAAACCAATTTTTGTATTCGCTGGCTATGATAGTCAGCGATGTCCAGTGCTGCTCTTGCGCAGTTCGATTAATGTTCTTTTGTTAGTGTTGTGCATAATGCAGACTTACTTGTGTTTGGTATTTTAACCGTATCGGGTGGAGGAGAGAAAATAATGATTTTTAGTGGATGTCGTATTGCATATGTGAATCGCTGTTCATCCGTACACCTCGCATAAGTACCAAGCGCCCTAGTATCTCCACCATAATTTATTCAGTAAAGGAGAATGTGCGCTGTTCAGTAATTCGTTAAAATTCCTACACACGCTTGCGACGGTCCTATAATGCTAGATTTTGTCTGCCAGTTATTCTAGCAAACTGCTCTCATCGCAATTTGGGATGCAGATGTCTCTTGTTACGCTGGTTGTGACGGTAGTTTATCGTTTTGTGACAGACCTAGTCTTTCTTCCAAAGTAACGTCAAATCATAATGGACACGGTTGTTGGGACAAAGTCGCCGTGCCACAGTTCCAGGTCCAGGTTTGAACCATGCCATTCACGTGGTTCTAAAATGTGCGAATTTTCTTCCATCCCCAAAAGTCGTCGATTAAGCATCGTTCGATCCTTTCTTGCGTCACATAAACACTCGTAAGTTTTCATTAAGAAGTTAAAGCGTGGACCGCGTAACTTTTTCGAAGGGTAATACTGATGGTGACCCCTTATCGTTCTATCCGCATTTGTAGTCGTAACTCAACGTCATTTTCTCTCGTTGCAGAACTGTATCAGAAGGCCGTTGCCCCCGCTTCGCTTTTGAGACACTTAAGTTCAGTAATAGAAAGTTTTCTCGTTTTAGTGTCATGTGTTATTTAACTTATAGTGGTGTTTCTTTTGTTTACGTTGGAATACAAGGAACTTCGACAGCTTGAAAGGCATTAGCTTTCAGGTTCAGTTGTTATTAAAATTTGTCCCAATCTTTTGCCGGTTCTTCGCATTTCGTTGCTTTTCTCGTTTGTTGTAATTCAGCTATTATTACATGTATTTGTATTTAATCATCTGTTTTATCCTGTGTAGCAAAATACGTTTGTCATTATTAATTGGTAATGTTAATTACATTTGATTGCCTTTATGGACCCTGAAATAACTTTTCATAATCGAAGTGTAATTAGTAACATCTTGAAACTAGCATCGTGCAGAGCCATCCATTATGAATTTTGCTGTATTGGTAAATGAATGACTGAAATTGGTTTTACTCTTCCTGTTGTATCGCTTTGCTTAAAAAAGGCAAACTTGTCTGATGTTTATGCAATGATAGTATGTCTGTAATTTGTGTATTTAACCGGTGATGTAAATTTTCATGCTTTTTCCGTGATTGATCCTCAGCTTTTTGCAATAATTCTAATCATTCTTTTTTTCAGAGGAAACATACCGTCTTTGGAAGACCTTCTTCTGCCGGCAGAGCGAGTACAGCTGAAACGATGTATACTTGCTGGACGGGTAATAAATTTTTTATTTGACCATCTTTAATATATTTCAGTGATAAACTGTATTGTTTATCAAGTTTATTAACAAAAGCAGCGTAGTTCCCATCGGCAGAAAATGGTCCCATTATAAATCGTAACAGAAATTGTACAGAGGAAAATAAACTACGTCCAAACAGAAAATAAGTGTTTTGTTCCGCTCTCAATGTCTCCTTTATAGACTGTCAATGTTTTCTATGTATGGGCATTTTTTACTCCTTTTTGGTTGCCCGAGGGCTATAGGAAAATGGTAAAACGTATGAATTCATACATTCTTTGCCTTGACCTCTATCTTCTTCTGACTAGAAAGGTTTTTATCCTTTTCGTAATTTAGTCCTATTTCATTTGTTAGTGTCATCGCTTTGGCTTTTACTACCAGTTCTTGATTCATGGTCGCGTCTGTAATGGCGAATTTCGCAGCTGGTTTCCGTAACCGGATTGCACGATGGTTTTGCACGTTGCTGTGTAAGACGGCGTTTACCTTGAGAAACACTCAGACGGATGAAAAATGCTTTAGCATACCTGTTTGTCAACTAGTCACAAACTCTGACAAACAGGCGATTTGCATATTTTACTTTTTCTGTGGCAGAATAGTGATAAATATGTCAGCTACGGCTTATCACTTCTTCTTGAGTCGATAGTCTCTTTCCGTCTTACAAAGGTGTCTGTTTCTATTCCATCCCACAGAGACTTTCAGAGTAAATTTTCCTTTCG